ATATATATATATATATATTGTTATGGGACGTGGAGTATAGTGTGGGAGTGGAGTCAAGGGATTTGTAATAGATATGTATGATATTGGGGGGAAATGGGGTGGCGGATTGGGGGAGGGGGTTGTCACTCTGAAGGGTAAAAAGTATGACTATTGCACTGTGTTGTACAGCTGAAACTAATTCTAAAAAAATGTGTATTTCATAATAAAAATAATTTAATAAAAAAAAAATACCATGTGTATAAGTGGCCGAATCTACACACTAAATACCACATATATGTGTATATAAGATATATGTGATCTTGTATCTGTTATGCTACTAAATACAGTGTATGCCAGGATGTAACATGTAACCTTGAACCCTAAATACTATATATACATGCATGGAAGATATACATAAACAGATTATATATAAATTACCATTCTAGATATTATATACATGGGCATACAAATTTGACACACAACAAATACCATATATGCATGTATGAGGTGTGCAAACAGTAAATACCGTATATCCTTGTAAATATAGTGTATATATAAACATATGCTAAATACCGTACATACCTGTATATAAGGTGTAGGTATACACGCATATTAAATACCATAATTACACTAATACACGTAACCACACCAAATACCAATATACGAGTCCTCTACTAAATACTGTATTTCATTTCTAAGAGACCAACGATTGAAAGAAACCATGATTTTATCTCACTAAGGAAAAAATAGTCTGCTAATTAAACGACAACGTAGCATTAGTGGTAAGACACATCCTAGTTTCGGAGATGTTAAAGTGTGAAAGAAATGCATCTCAGAATTAAGGAGTCAAGTTGAATCACGCTCTTTCTGTTCAGATCCAGGAGCACAAGCGTTAACATTCCCTAGCTCCCCCTCACTGCATGGCCTCGGAGACCACGGTTCTGACAGCGCCCAGACCTGGATCCCGACTAAGTTTGAATCCCAGCCCTGCCACTCAGCTGTGCGTCCCTGAGCAGGTCACACTATACCTCTCGGTTTCCTCTTCTGTGAGGTGAAGAGCTTGTGGGGTTGTTGTGAGGTGTTATTAAGTTGCACTAACTCTCCCACCGCTGTGGGGCCTTTTCTTTTTGGTGCCTGTTTCCTCATCTGCAAAAAACGCGGGGGGGGGGGGGTTCGTAGCGCAAACCGGATGGGGCTTCTGCAAGCGCTTAACGATCTGGGGTGGGGGTGGGGGTCTCTGAAACTTCAGCGTCACCCCGGGGCCCAGCCTGCGAATCTGAGAAGTCTTTAAGGGGTGGCCCAAGAATCTGCATGTGACGAGCTGGGGCGACGCTGGCAGGGTGGGCGCCAGGTGGACAAAGTGACCCGGAGGCCCGTCCAGCCCCGGCAGAGGAGATACACGCTCCTAACGGCCGGCGGCCAAGCTGCTGTTACCTAAAAAACATTGAGCAAACGCAATTCCGAAGGTGGAGCCCCGCGGACCACTCCGGCACGGGTGCAATCCCTGACCCACTTTCCCGGCAAGGAAACTGAGGCACGGAGGGGCAGGGCGGGGCTTCAGCGCCCCCCGGGTGCTCGCCCCGAGATCTGGAATGCGTGGTCCTCCCCCACGAGGATAACCCCACAGGTCAATGAACCCGGCGTGCGTGCGGCGCGGACTCATCGGCTACCAAACAACAGCAGCTGGGCTCTTGCCGTGGTTTGTCCCGACGAGAGCACAGTCTGCGCCTGCGCAGCTCGGAGGCTCCCGCTCCACCCCCTGGCCTCGGAGGCCACGCCCGCCTCCCTGCTCCCGGAAGCCTCTGCGCGCCAGCTCCCGCGGGGACCAAGGGAAAAGGAGGGAGGAGGGAAGGGGATGAGTGAGGAAAGGGAGACGGGAGGAGCTTGGAGAGAGGAGTGGGAGGAAAGAAAGAAGCGAGGAGGAAGTAAACAGAGGGGAAGGCGAGAGTGGGTGAGGAAAGCTAGGAGAGAGAAGGAAGGGCAAGGGGAGGCAGGAAAGGATAGGGTACAGGAGAGGGGTGAAAAAGGAGAGAGAGGGGAGGGCGAAGCAAGGAGGGACGAGGAGGGAGGATAGGGGAAAAGAGGGGTAGGGGGAAGATGAGGGGATGAAGAAGGGGAATCGCCTCAACGTACTGAAAAGATCAATAAGAAGAAGGTGATTGACTAGAACTGGTTTGAGAGCAGAAACTCTGCTGCCAGGTCTGCCAGGGTTCCAATCCCAGCTCTGTGTCCTTCCACCAGTGTGGTAATTTTCTGATCCTCGGTTTCTTCATCTGTAAAGAGATTGTAAGGAAACCTGCCCCAAAGTGGTGTTGTGTGGGTTACATGAGTTAATTCACATAAAGCTCTTACAACAGGAGCTGGGACCCTCTAAAGTTAGCACTATCCAATGTGGTGGCCACTGGCTATGCGTGACTGACTGTTCAGCACTTGACATGTGGCTGATGTGGCCACGGAACTGAATTTTTACTTGCATTTAATTTTAATTACTTTAAATTTTCATGGTTACGTGTGTCTACTGGCTGCTGCATTGGATGGTGCATCTCTAAAGCCTTAGCTATTTACTATACATACCAAGCTTCCATTGTATTTTCTAACAGTTTGATGCATCCTCTTAAAAGCCACAGCAACAATAATATCACTAGCAGCATTTATTGGGTCTTTTTTAAGTGTTGGGGCTGTCCCAAGTACTTGGTGTGGATTAGCCCTGTGAATCCTCAGTGCGTGGGCCCTCTGACTGTACGTAACAACTCTTAGCACTACTAGTGTTTAGTGAGCATGCATTATGTGCCAGGCCTCCTGAGAAACTCTGACTCAAATACCATGTCATTTAACTTGAGGAGAGGCTTAGATATAATGAATTTGGGAAAGGCCACAAGACAGGGTCAGTACGATGCGGGTAACACATGGATGCGTTTTTGTCTCTACTTGGATCTGAGCTAGAAAATCCTAGACCTCCATGGAAAATGTGCCTTCCCTGAGGCTGCAGCCACCTCCTGGATGGCACCACCAATGTATAAGCTGACTTTATTCTTTTTTTCTTTGTTACTCCTTTCTCTTCCTTTCCCCCTCTCCACTTTCCTTTTGCCTTTAAATTTTTTCTCATTTTGGATATTAAAAATTGATCATGCATTTTTTTTTGCAGCTCCTGCTCCTGCCTCTGTTTTCCTACCCTTGAATCTGTTGTCCTTGTGTCTTGTGTTGACCAGTAGAAGAATATGGCAGCAGTGATATAGAATTTTGGAAGTTACATCTTCTGATTCTGACACCAATTCCACTAAGCAATTCTTCGACACCAGCTGGATGTTGGAGACACTACCTACCCCGAGATAATGTCAACTAGCAACAGCTAACCAATATGCCTTCCTAGATGATCTGCTGCCACTGCCTGTCTTAACTGCTATCCGGTCCATCATGGGGAGTGGTTGTACGCTCCTGAGTTTGGGTATCTTAACTACATGAAGAGGGCTCAGTGTTCCCCAAAATTGTCTCCTCTTCTTTCATGGTGCTAGAACCCCTAAGTTTAGCTGCATTTCCCAGTTGCCCTCGCAGCCTAGTGTGGCCATGTGACTAGGTCCTGACCAACAAGGCACAAAAGGCACCACCAGGTGATAGCTTTCAGAGGTGGACTGTTGCATCCAAATTCTGGTTTGGCCACTCCCCTCTTAAGGAGCCTTGGGAAAGTGACTTATGTTCTCTGCACCTCAGTTTCCTAATCTGTGTAATGGGGATAAGGATAGTATCTGCCTTATGGTGTTGTTGTGAAGAACAAATGAACTAGCGCACAGAAGCATTGAAAACATTTCTTGGCACATAGGAGATTCTATTGTGTGTCATCATTATAATAATTTTATAATCACTTCCTAAGATTGATATGAGATTTACATGCAACCATGCTCCAGGCTTGTTATCAGAACAAGTTTCCCTGGGGCTTGTTGGTCTCCCAAGACCAGGGAGAAATATTAGCAGGAAATTATATCCATTCATCTCCCCAAACTCCCACCAACCCACCAGGAGGCTCACTAGACTTTCCATCTTCTTCATCGATACTCATTAGCCCAATAAACATTTCCCAAGACATGAAAATTCACAAGTGGAATTTTTCTTTTGCCCAAGTTTCTGTAAAAAGTTGCCTAGATATAGGAAATGCTTATTTATAGATGGTCATCTGCTTTCTGGGGAAGTTGAGAGGTGGAAAGAAGTAGAGGAGAAGGGGAGGCAGGTGTGAACTTGGTGTTTTTTTCACTGCTGCAGTCAGTGTGACACAGGGAGGTTGATGTGACAGACATGTGTGGAATGGGGGAGAAGGGAATTGGCTCAAGAAGGAACCTGAGTTGTTTCTTTTCTTCCCCCTTAGTGGTGGGGAGAGGCTGTCCTAAGAAATAAAAAAGTGGATGCCTAACATGTGAACACCTAGAATTTCTGCATCCTTTGAGATGCAGGAATCTCAAGAGACAAGAGGCATGAATAGGGAATCATTCATTCAATAAATATCTGAGTGCCCTTTCTATGCCAGGCACTGTTCCAGGTGTTGAAGACCCAGCAGTGAGTGAACCAAAGCCCCTTGTGCCATGGAGCTCCCGTTGTAACTTCTGAGCATGATCAAAGGAAATGAGGTAGAGAGTGAAAGGAGGTCTATCTCAGTTTGGCAGTCAGGGAGGACCTCTCTACACAGGTGACATTGAAACAGGGGCCCCAGTTAGCAAAGAGAAGACAGCTGTATGGATATCGGGGAAGGACATTATCCTCTCAATCCAGGGCTTACTGGAGCCTTGCTTGAAAGAGGGGAAAAATTGGCAACACCAAGGATCTGTCCTTAGAAGGTTGGCTAAATATTAAGATTCATCTGGTAAGAAATGGTAAGGAAGAGGGGGACAACCAAGATGACACAGTAGGTAAACACTTTGCTTACCTTCTCTTACAACCACATCAAAATTACAACTAATCTACAAAACAACCATTATTGAGAATCGCCTAAAATCAAACTGAACTGAAGCTCTTCAAATAAGGACTTGCAGAAGAAGCCACCTCCAGTCTGGTAAGAAGGTCAGAGATGCAGCACGGGCTGGTCCCACACCCACGTGTGACCATTAAAGATCGAAAGTGCTATTCATCTGTGGGAGGACCCCCCCTCCAACAGAAGAGCGAGCAGTGCCAGCCCCACTCCAGCCCAGGGTTCCAGTGCCAAGGAGAGAAGTCTCCATAATTTTTGGTTGTGAAAACTAGTGGAGATTGTGACTAAGTGAGACTGAGGGTAGCTGCATTCCCAGGTGCTCCTCTTAAAGGGACTGCATGCAGACTCACCCACTAACAGAATCACTCACTCTGAGGCCCAGCCTTGGGGCAGCAGCTAGAGAAGCAGCCAGGACATATGGTGGGGAACTGAGTTGTCTGGCTTGGGACATGGGTTGGAGAGGCAGCTTTCTCCTGGATGGGGGAGCTGGTGGAGGCCATTGTCACTTTGCTGAGCCCTCCTGCTTCCCCACATGCAGACACAGGTGGCTGCCCTATCTGAGTCTCTGCTGTTTGTTTGCCACACCCTGATGAATCAAGACCTGACCCAGCCCAACTTTTGGGCACACCCAGGCCGCTTCCACTGGCTTTTTGTGTAGACTGCCTGCCTTAGCTCAAGCTGGAGGTTTTCCTAGGGTCTCTCAAAGGTTTGTGGATCCCAGACAAGCAGCATCTGACTTGAACATGTCCTGTACCTCTGACTGAGCAGGCCTAAGTGTGGCACTAGCAGCAGACAGCCTTGATTCACGGCTTGGCCTCTCAAGGCATTTCCAAGAATGGCACAGCGACAGCCATCTTTGGATTTCTTAGTGGCTCCTGCCGGGTGGCCCCGGGTGAGGCACAGGCTGTGGCTGAACTTGACCTACAGTGGATCCCCTCGAAGGTGGTCCTGGGGCTGGCACCCCCAGTGGCCAGCTTCAAAACGAGATGGAACATTACCCAGGTCCCTCCAAGTATGACACACACAAGGGATGGATTGGGCAGGCACCAGAGTCCTGCTGAGGCAGATCCTGCTCTGTAGGATCAGCCCCCGCACAACAACTCTTCCACTGTAGTCAAGGCCAGTCCTCACAACCAGTGAGCCCAAGGGTCAGTCTCTCACATTGATGTGCAATTATCAACCAAGGCTCAACTAAAGAGGAGGGTACGCACAACCCACACAAAGGACACCTGGAGTGTGTGGCTCAGGTGACAAGAAAGACTGTGCCACTGAACCCCACAGCACACCTGCTACATAAGGCCACTCTATTAAGACCAGAAGACATTGCAGCCCTACCTAATACATAGAAACAAACACAGGGAGGCAGTCAAAATGGGGAGACAAGGAAACATATCTCAAATAAAAGAATGGAACAAAGCTCTAGAAAAAGAACTAAGCAAAATGGAGATAAGCAATCTGTCAGAGACAGAGTTCCAAACACTGGTTATTAGAATGCTCAATGATCTCAGGGAGAACTTCAACAGAGAGATGGGAAACATACAAATGAAGATGGGAACCATAAAAAAAGAACCAGTCAGAAATAAAGGATACAATAATGTAAATGAGAATATATTAAGGGAAATCAACAGAAGATTAGATGAAGCAGAGGATTTAACCAGCGATGTAGAAGATAAGGTAGCAGAAAACATCCAACCAGAACAGCAAAAAGAAAAAAGAATCCAAAAAACTGAGAAGAGTTTAAGAGGCCTCTGTCACAATATCAAGCATACCAACATTTGCATTATAGGGGTACCAGAAGGAGAAGAGAGAGAGCAAGAAATAATGACAGAAAATTTCCCTAACCTGGTGAAGGAAATGGGTATTCAAGCCCAGGAAGCACAGAGAGTCCCAAACAAGATGAACCCAAAGAGGCCAACACCAAGACATATCATAATTAAAATGCCAAAGGTTAAATACAAAGAGAGAATCTTAAAAGCAGCAAGAGAAAAGCAGTTAGTTACTTACAAGGAAGTCCCCATAAAACTGTCAGCTGATTTCTCAACAGAGACTTTGCAGGCAAGAAGGGAGTTGCAGGAAATATTCCAAGTGATGAAAAGCAACAAAATACAACCAAGATTGCTCTACCCAGCAAGGCTGTCATTTAGAATTGCAGGACAGATAAGGAGCTTCCCAGACAAGAAAAAGCTGAAGGAGTTCATCACTTCCAAACCAGTATTACAAAGACTTTTAGAGGGACTTGCTTTAGATGGGAGGGGCATAAGAACAGGTGAAAGGGGAAGGAATTAAGAAGAACAAATTGGTTGTTATACAGTAGTCATGGGATGTAGGGTACAGCATAAGCAATATAATAAACAATATTGTCATAACTAGATATGGTGCCAGATAAGTACTAGATCTATCAGGGAGATAGATGGAAATGGGGTTGGTAGCAGGGTGAAAAAGGTGAAGATATTAAGAAATACAAATTGGTAGTTAATACAGTATGGGGAATATAATCAACAATGTTGTAAAGATCATGTAAGGTGCCAGATGGGCACTGGACTTATCAAGGGGATCAAATCATAGACTGTGTAGATACATGACCAATGCGCTATACACCTGAAGCTAAAGTAGAATAATATTGAATGTCATCTATAACTAAATATATAGGTATATATAGTCACGGGATGTGGAGTACAACATAGAGAAGATAGTCGATGGTATTGTAACAGCTATATAAGATGTCAGAGGGGTAGTAGATTAAGGGATGGGTGATCACTTTATGAGGGGTTTAAATGTCTAACTAATTTTAGAAACTTGAAAAAAATGGTAAGGAAGAGTTTAATATACTGATATGGGAGGAGCTCTGAGTTAGAGCATTAAATGAAAAACAAACAAAAGTTGACAACAGTATATATTGTACATTCTCATTTGTGTTCTTAAAAAGTTTACATATACATGCACACACAGTAGTATAAAGAACACTACTACTTCTGTATATTGTTAATCTAGTGAGATGCTTCTGTGAAAGTCGGTAAATGGCTGCTGGCTGAAGGCCCTGACCCCTGCCATGTCCCCTCCTACATATCACTGAAAGGGTGCTATCTGTTGGTGATTACTTGACTGGCTCCTACTTCTGTACAGGTTACTAATTTATTGAAATGCTTCAATGGGAGAGACAGAGCAGATTATTCTTACTCTACCTGACCTGAAACTGAGAACTTTCAAAAAGGAATGACAAAGCACTTCAAGCCTACAGGACAGTATGGCAAGTAAGACAGCGTACCTCCCATGTGTTTATCACTCAGAACATTTGATTCTTTTTAACTACATGGGTACAAGACTTTGATTTTTAAAAGAAGCTTTATGCTAACATTGTATCCCAATTCTTTTTCATTTGTTTGCTTTATCCTTATTCTTTAAAAAATTTACCCAGTTTTCCACTTTATATATTCATTATTCACTTAAGAGCTTATTTGATACAAAGCTCAAAAGGGACAAAAGAATATATGACAAAAAATAAAGTGGCTCTCTTCTGGCAACCACAATTATCAGGGTTTTTTTGGAGCCTTCAAGAAATGCTGTAGGTGTACACACACACACACACACACACACACACACACACACACACACACACACACAAATCTCATCTGATCCTAATAGGGCCAGGAAACAGGAAGGGTAGGACTGTTTTCCCCCTCGCTGGTGGTCTAGATCCACGGGAGGGAGATGTGGGTTTCCATGGCAATCAACCATCTCTCAAGGATGTTAAGAAAAGACAGGTTGCCTGCCCTAGAATGGATCTGGATCCTTCTCTCAGAGAGGGGACTCCAGTGGCCGCCAGGAAAACAGCAGAAGGAATCTGACACTGCACCCCCAACCCCTCTCCAGCCCACATCCCTGACTGGGAAGGGGAGGGATGTCTCTCCTGGTGCTTAGAAGCCTTCAGAAGTCAGCTGCCTGCCCGCGGATTAGGACAAGGGCAGGCTTTAGAACCAGTTGGTCTCAGGTCTGAATCACGAGGGCTCACTGGCTGTGTGAACAGTGCCTGCTGCCTGTCAGCCATTGGGAATCAGCGGTGAGCAAGACAATTCACATCTCACCTCTCAGAGGGAGGCTAATCTTCTTATCTGATTCCCTTTTTTAAAATTATTACTTTGTTTTATTTCTCAACAGTTGATAAGTAAAGACATTTTCTTTGTCAAGGGTCAAAGGATATTGATAAAGCAAAATTTCCTGCAGATCTCAACTCATCTCTGCTCTAGAGGTGAGTGACTGTTGTGGATTTGGGGTGTTCTGGGGGTCGCTTTTCCTCTTCATTTACATGTGTATCTGTGCCTGTAGAAATAAATGTAATTTGTGTCTGCACATTTGGGAATGAATGCATTGATTCTGAGCTCCAGTTTTCTTATCCATAGAATTAGCCCTGCTAATAGTACCCATCCCATAATTACAATACCAAATGTATATCAGCCTCTTACTGTGAGATCTGCATTATTGTTATTGAGTAAATTATAATAATTAAATCTATATGTTATATTTCATTGATGCTAAGGTGTGCTTTTTATTTTATTTTTTACATTTTAACATCTCGGAAATATGTTTTTAAATTGTCAGTATCTTTGGATTTTTAAGGTTTGTTTCTTCTTTAAGGTTTTAACAATTTATTTTATATAAGCAACACACGTGGAGGCAAAATTCTCACATTCATGGCATGCCATAGTCAGGAAGAGTAATTAATTTGTACCCTGAGATGAAGCGAATGTAACAGGGCCACCCTCCTTCGTCTTGGTTCCCAAATAATAAAACATTAAGCACTTTCTGTAAGCCTGTAATCCTTAGCAAAACCATCTTATTCCTGAGTTTTACCATGCTGAGATTTGAAGATGTGTCATGAACTTTCTGGCTGTGATAATCATTTAATAAAATTACTGGGTTTTCATCATGAATGAATAGGTGCAACCTTGATAAACTTGGTAATCTGTGAGCTTTTTCTTTTAAATACCTCTGTATTTTTAATTGGTAAGCCTTTACACATACATCTATGTATCTATGGAAAGTAACTGACATTGTTTTTTGTGTTGCTGGGTTTTCCTGTAAGTGATGTCACACTACATCAGTGGTTTTGCAAATTGCCTTTTTTGATGCAATGCTGTATCTTGGAGGCCTTTCTTTATCAGTTCACAAAGATTGATTTTGTTCTGTAAAATGAGGATAATGACATTACCCACCTTTTGTGAGGACACAACAGGCTATCAATAAATGTCAATTAATAAAGATTCTGTCTTTAGAAAGTTAACTCCATTGGTCAGACAACAGAAAAGCCCTGTGGGATGGGGTGGACAGGAAGGCACATATTTCTCGAAGCAGACTTGGCAATTCTCTGCTCTTTTATGATTTTACTCCAGACACCCCAAGTGACTGGATACTTCAAGGTTTTAGGCAACTAATTGAGTTTTCTTAGTTCAATCATCCTTCTTTTTTTTCCCCTGCAGAATAAACTGAAGTATTTTCAGTAATAGTGAAACAAATAGGTCTTTGGTGACCAGTTTCCCTGAGTTAAATTTTGACATTTACAAGTTGAATTTAGGCTTCTCCCAATAGGTCTGAGGCTCCTAAAATATCACCTTTTGGAAATAACCTAAATGTTTGCCAGTTGGGGGAAGGGTCACAATAACTAGTTGCATCCACACAATGGGATTAATTTTCAATAGTTGTTCAAAAGAATGAAGTAGGTTCTTCTCCTTGTGGGATCCTTACTTACAGGAGTCCTTGCTTGGTGCCACACAACTCCATGAAAGGATAGAAAAGTAGGTAAGAGCCAGATTTCAGTGGATCTAGGTGATCAAAGAGCTCAAATCAGAGCCTCAAACCTCCTAACCCTTGAAGAGGTGTGGAAATCATCCTCTAAAGGGAAATCATCCTCTTCAGGCATTCTGGGTGTTTCTTACAATATCCAGCACATAGTGAGTGTTTTATCAATGTCTGTATCTTGAGTGATGGGTGCAACTGTGGCTTCCCTGGTGACAAGATCTTTGGGAAGAACATACTCTTTGATCCATTCATCAATCCCAGAGTAGTTAGATTTTATGCCAGGAGCTCATTCTTGAAGACCTTGCATAATTATAATTCAAGACTAATCCTAACAAAAGATGGTTGGCATGTCTCTTCACCAGCTAAAATGATATTCAAATAGCAAACACAGTTTACAATTTAAACAATTGATCATATTTGAAAGTATGGATTTTTAAGGAATTTTTAAATTTCAAGGCTTGTTACTTCAAAACATGCCACCCAAAGCTCATGATTTTGAATGTTTGTAAGTCAAGTTAGCATAAAATATAGCCATGCTATATTTATATAAATCTACAATAATATCTTTCTTGTGACCCCCCACCTTGCAGAATAAAAACTAGGGCCTTGCCAATAACTCACATATACCCCAACACAAGGTAACCATCATTCTGAATCGTGGGCATACCTTTCTCTTACGTTCCATATTTTTATACGTTTCTCACCTCAGAGATTTTTTGGAAACTCAGTGTTAATAATTTCAGTCAGGTTGTAGCCAGGCCCTGCCATTCTAAGAGCCAAACCTGCCTCTTAAAAATGACTCTGCAGTTTTTGCTCTCATCTGCTTTCACCCCACGCTGCCTACAGCCCAGAGAGCTTTGTTTCCAGGCAACAGCAGTGCTTTTTTCAGGCGGATGGGTTATTTGAGAGAGAGAGAGAGAGAGAGAGAGAGAGAGAGAGAGAGAGAGAGAGAGAGAACGCGCTTGCCATCTAGTCTGCCTAGAGATGTTACCATGGACAGCTCAAGCTGCTGCCCCCCATTCAGCACCAAGGACAGCTCTATCTGAAGGGGTTGGGCAACACGAAGAGGTCTATGTGAATGGGATTCAGAACCACGGACACTACCAGGAGTCAACTTTTCCCATGGCCTCTGCTAGATGTATGTTCTCTTCTGAGCAGATTCCTGAGGCCCCTCCATGACCCACATCACCAAGAGTCTCCGAATGCTGGCACCTCAGTAATCCAGGCTCTCCTGGTTTTAACCTCAGAAACACAGGCGCTGAACACTTAACACACCCCAAAGGGAATTCTGGATTTTCTCTATACACACAAAAAAACTTGACCTTACTTAGTGCACTACAGAACACTAGCTGCTCAGGCTCAAAGTCCAAAAGTCTTCCATGAATCCTCCCTTCCTGTCATCCCTCACATCCCGTCCATCAGTGAGTTCTCTCAGCTCCATCTCCAAAGTATAGAGAGCCAAAAAAATGCATACACATTTTAAGAAAGGAAAACTGTGTTAAAATTGTAATACTCAATGTACACTGACAACAAAAGATGAATACAAATCACATTTGACTTCTGCTATTACAAGAGGTGCTCAAAGTGGTTACCATCAGCGTCCAGACACTTCTGATTATGGCAAACTACTGCTTGAGCAACGTTGACCAAAGTGTCCACTTGTATACATTTTTTTGGCACCCCCGGTATATTCTGAATCTGTCCACTGCTCTCCAATCCCATTGCCATCACCTCACTCCCTGCCACCATCAATCTCACTTGGTTTACTGCATCAGCCTCTTAACTGGTCTTCCCATTGTACCTATTGTCCCTCCTAGAACACACCCCCACATCGCAGTTTCAGCGATGACCTGAAAATGTAAATCAGATTATATCACACCCTTCCATGGCTTCCCAGCTCACCTGCAATTACATTAAAAAATGTCTCTGTGGCTTTCAGGACCCTGGACGTCCTTACCTGACCACTCTGGACACACAGGCCAGGGGAAAATATCTGCCCCAGACAGAGAAACAGGTGAAGGATCACTATCCAGAATGTGTAAAGAAAGCCTAAAAATAAGTAACAGCTATAGAAACAAATAGAGTAATTCAGAGAGGGTACAAACAGGCAATTCACAGAAGAGAAAAAAAAAAACAAACCCTGATCCATAAACATGTAAATTTACTCCATGTCACCAGTAAGCAGGGAAATGACAACATGACTGTAAAGGGAGATATTTTTTCCCCTTCATCTACGGCTTTGTCAAAAATTTAAAATTTTGATGTAGCCTCTACGAGAGCAATTTGGAGGTAGTCACTGCATTGTCAAGGTGAATAATAATGATAATAAGAGCAGCTAACAGCTATTAATCAGTATATGGGCATTATTAATTTTTACCTTCACAGCAATCTTGGGAGGTGGTTTGCATATTATTCCCACTGAACAGAATGGGAAACTGAGGCACAGAGCTGCTATGTGACACATCCAAGGACACACTAGTGGCAAACAGCAAAGCCGGTCTCTGACCCCAGGGTCTCCAGGCTGCCGGACCCCCGCCCGGCTTCTTCATCGTCCCTCCCCCACCGCGCACACCGGTTGTGGACTACAGAACCTCCTAGGGGCCTGTGCGAAGCTGTTGCCCTATCGAGAGGTGGACAAACCTCCATACCCATCACGGGGGATGGAAGGCTCCTCCCCCACTGTAGCCGACCTCACTGCGAGAAGATCGCCACACCCCCGCCACAGCACGGCAGGCGCATTGTCACTGTCGCAACTCCGCTCCACTCCCCACCCTCCTGCAGGCGCAGGCTCCCCAGGGCTCGGGGAGCAGGAGGGGAGAAGGCCGCCCACCCTCTCCTACTCCCTCCACCCCACCCCCATCTCCCACCCTCAGCCTTCGCGTCTGCGCAGCCGCGGTTGCTGCGGCGCCAGCTCTGCAGTGCCGGGACTGGGTCTGGTTGGGGAGGGTGAGTCCTTCCAGAATCCCCGCGGGCGGAAGGGGGCGGGAAAATGGGGCTGGGGGCGCGGGCGGTGATGCGAGGACGCGCATGACAGTGTGAATGTGTGCGAGTGTGGGTGTGTGCCTGGGGTGAGGAAGCAGGAACGCTCTAGGGATGCGGGTCTGAGGAGGGGTCTCCAAGTTCATCCGGTGGGCGAGGGCTGGGCTGGGTCTGGCCCTCCTCCAGTCGCGGTCTGTCCACCCGCCAGTGGATTGCATTTGAATTTCGGCCTTGGCGCGAGGAGGGCAGGATGACCCTGCGCCGAGCATCCGTATGTGAATCTGCGCACTCTCGTGGGTCGCTGTGCACACGTGTGCTCTCGTCTCTCGGGGGCTCCGTGTGCGCCCTCCCGCATGCACCACCGCGCACGTGTGCGCTGTGTGTGTCTGGGCACGTGTGTACCCTCCGCAATGGCTGGGTGTACTGGCGCTGAAATCAGACAGGGTTCGACCCCCACCCAGCTCCAATTAGCCGTGTGGCTTGGATCAATGGCCTTCCCCGTCGGTATGGTGGAATCAGAACCGTATCTACCAGCGGAGACTTATGGCAAGGGTTAGATTAGGAAAAGGGCGCAGAGCGCCGGGCGGTGCTTGACACACTGGAGCGCTCAGGAAACAGTGACTGCCGGGGCTGTGATTACTATTATTGTGGTGGTCGTCGTTGTTGTCACTGCGTCTCTGACCTTTCTTCCCAGCCGATGACCTGTTTGCTTTTTCTCCAAGGACACTGACAAGCACCCCTGTCACGCCCACAGATCTCTCTGTCCCCTTCCTTTCTCTCTTTTCCATCCCAACAGACCCAGCTTCTTCTGACCTAGACCCCATGGCTCTTGTCTCCTCCATCGGCCATCTGCATTTTCTCCTCTTCCCATGCCTTCTTACCCCTAGGCCTAAACACATGATTAATTCTCTCTCATGTTGAAAATAAAACAAAACCAGTAACCAAAACAGCATGCCCTACCAATGCTCACTCACTACTTTCCATGAAGGCCATTTTATTTTTCTTGGAAACTGTCCTCTATGCCCCACTCCTCCCACCCTCCACATCCTCCCCAGCCACATTGAGATTGCAAACTGGCAGCCTCAGGGTCCAACCCAGCCCCACCACCTGTGTTATTTGGCTCACATAGTGCATTCCTTGTAAACATTTGAATAATTATTGGTATTTTGAAAAGCAGAAGATGTCATCTAAAAACACAGATTTCCAGTGTTCTTGAGAAATCAGAACATGAGACACACTGGGCCTACGTTTTCATTTGGCAAATGTTGGCTGGGCTGAATGGGGCAGGTTCATCAGACAGGGCGCCCGATCTCTCCTTTGCCACAATTCCCACTACTCCCTATAGCCTCTCCCTATCTCATGCATCATTTGCCATTGGTTCATGTTTTCATTACAATAGAGAAGTATTTCTCTGTTTAAAGTCAGGACTTTATAAAAGACCCCACAACAGTGTTTGCGATCCAGCAGAACCAGATTCAAGCAGCACAACAAAATTCATGCAATGTGCAATTCCCAAAGCCAACATTTATCTACATATATATTGAAACAGACATGTGCAGCAAACCACAAGTAAAATTACCTGAAATTGAAACAATTTGTATTTTGTTTCAGTGTTCTTTTTAGTGCAGTCTAAAATACGCAGAATAATGAGCATGAAGTGTCCAGTTCAATGAAGGTAGAGCTCAATGAATTTGCACAAAGCTCTTCACCCCTGGAACCACCATTCACATAAAGATATAGAACACCTCCAGCCCCATCCCCCAAAAGTTCCCTGTGCCTCTCCCCTTGTCCCCAGCCAGGCACAACTGCTGTTCTGACTTCTATCAACATCGACTAATTTTGTCTGGACCAGGCTTAGTTTTTAATCAATAAAATCACATATATGTACTCCTTAGTGTCTGGCCTTTTTCACTCAGTCTAATATATACTTTTAGATCCATCCATGTTGTTGCATGTATCTCTTTATTTGTCTTTTTTAGTCCTGAGTAGTACTCCATTATATAAATAAATTGTGATTCACTTATGCATTCTCTTGTTGATAGGCATCTGGGTTTTTAATATTTTTATTGTGAATATGAGGATATTTGACTGAATATAGGCAGTTTTGTATTACAAATACAGCTGATAGCAATGTTTGAGGACAGTGTTTGTGTGGACATCGGCTTTCATTTCTCTTGGGGGAGTGTCTAAGAGTAGAACTGTGGGGGTGCTAGGGTGCACGTGTGTTACGCTTTAGAAGATTTTGCCAAATTGTTTTGCCAAAGTGTTTAAGCCAATATACACCCCCACCAGCATGTATGAGTCAGCCTGTTTTTACAATCTATCTCAATGATTTCTAAGGGAAACTTTGTTACAAATGGAAATCTAGTATCTCTTTTTATTTTATTATTTTGTTTTACAGTTATTGAGGATAACCATGAAAATAAATACAGGGAAAATAAAACAATATCCTTACATTCTGGTTGGATACTTTGCCTGCCTGAATGGAAGATGGGGGGGGGGGAAATGGGGAGAGAGAGAGATTAAAGGCATATTAGCACCAAACAGACTTTCTCCTTGAAGTAATCAGAAGGCTAAAAAGGGTGCTGAAACCACTTCACATCCATTCATAAGATTACTATCAAAAAAACAAAACAAAACAAATGTTGGCGAGGATGTGGAGAAAAGGGAGCCCTTGTGCACTGATGGAGAGTCCTCAAAAAATTAAAAATAGAGCTACCTTATGACTCAGCAATTGCACTTCTTGGTACTTACCCAAGGGACATGAAAGCAGGGTCTCAAAGAGCTATTTGCACACCCATATTCATAGCATTATTCACAATAGCTAAAACGTAGAAGCAACCCAAGTGGTTGTCAACAAATAAATAGATAAGAAAAATGTTGTCTATACATATACAATGGAATATTATTCAGCCTTAAAAAGGAAGGAAATTGTGCAATATGCTATAACATGGATGAAACTTGAGGACATTATACTGAGTGAAATAATACAAATACTGTGTGATCCCACTTATATGAGGTCCCTAGAATGGTCAGATTCATAAAGACAGGAAGTAGGATGGTGGGTGCCAGGGGCTGGGGGAGGGAAGAAGTGGGAGTTGTTTAATGGGACAGAGTTTCAGTTTTACAGGTAAAGAGTTCTGAGGATGGATGGTGGTGACAACTGCACAACAGTGTGAATGTGCTTAATACTGCTGAACTGTACACTTAAAAGCTGGTTAATATGGCCAATTTTTTATTATGTGTATTTTAACTCGATAACAAAAACGGTGCTGAAGAGAAAGAACTTTCTCTCACTGGGACCCAGCATTACCTAGCCCTGGATGTGTCTGCAATGGCCTCCTGGGCTGTCCTGGGGGGTGGATGATGCAGGGACAGAGGACATGGAGGCTTCGAGGCTGCCTGAGGAAACTGGCCTCTGCATGTATGGGGGCATTGAAAGCATCTTGACCACAGCAGGTCTGGAGGAGGATGAAGCTGGTGGACTGGGTGTGGGGTTAGGGGGCTGATTGACAGTGTCAAGGGTAGAGTGGACCGTGGGTGCAGACTAGAACCAGAGCAGGGGCACTGCTTTCTGGGGCAAAAACAGGTGGATGTAGCGGTCATTGGATGTGGGGATGAGGGGCAAGTGGACAATAATGCCTGTAGAGTGGGGATCCAGGGGCGCAGGGCATCCTGGGGTGTGGGGGAGCTGGCAGGGGTTTCTGGGAAGTGAGTTTGAATTTTGGTTTCATGGGCCTGTGTGACACCCTCTCCATGATTGGTTATGTAGGGGAAAAGAACACATCTTGAATATCCATAATAAATGTGCTGGTTTCTATTATTAAAAAGTTTCACATATACTTACAAGTGTGAAGATAGCACCGTGAGCCACCATCTTCCCAGGTGCAGCGATCATCAATTGCCTGTTGGCTCTGACCCTCTTTCATCTACATCTACTTCTTTTTTCTTTCTAATTAAATGTATTTGGGTAGCATTGGTTAATAACGTTACATAAATTTCAGGTGCACAACTTTATAGTATGACGTCTGTGTCCTTGTGTGCTCAGCCTAGTCTCCTTCTGTCACACCCATTCATCCCTCCATAGGCACCCTTATGTTAACTGCAGCAGTATTTACAATAGCCAAGACCAGGAAGCAACCCGTGTCCATCATCTGTTTCTCTTTATCTCACCGCAGAAGTATTTTAAAGTGTATCTCAACCATCATGTCAATTCACCCCATACACTACAAAAATATCTCTTGGAAAAAAAAAGGTGAATATTTTCTTACCTATCTATGAGGCCATTTCAAAAACAATCAATGAGAAAGAATTCCTTGGTATCATCAAATATCCAGTCCACAATCAAATTTCCTTGAGTGTCTTAAAAATGTTATTTTTCACAGAAGGATCCTTTGAATCTGATTCCAAACCAGTCTCACGTGCATTTGATTCTTGAGTCTCGAACTTCTTTTTGAAGTCCTGTGTTTTTAAAAATCTGATATAACAATTTCTATTTGCATGAACCCAAGCAAGAAGAAACTGATTACAAGAGCTTTTTTTTTTTTACACCAAGAGAATTTACTCCTTTTTTATTTAAAAAAATTACTATTCATGAGGGCAGGCAGTGGATTATACATATAATGCAAGGTTGGTAATACAGACAAATTCCTAAATCCAGCGTTAGAATCTCAAGGTAAAGGGCTGCATAATCATGTCATTATAGTTCAGATATCTTGTTGCAAACAACCTCTGAATTTCAGGTTGACAAGACATAGAATGAGAATATTAAAGAATATTTAATTTCAAGTTAGACTTTTAACCTGTACCTGGCAAATGCCTTTTTTTTTCTTATGACAATGAAGCAGAAGGTTGGGGCTGCAGGAGGCTGGAGGGAAAATGGGTCCTTCTCTCTGCAGCCAGAGGGATGCTGGAGGTGACTGCCTCCTTCTAGAAACATCTGGCTATATATTTTGGGACATGGAGTGTGTGTGTGTGTGTGTGTGTGTGTGTGTGTGTGTGTGTGTGTCTTGTGTGTGAGTGTGCACATGTGCCACTCTGGCCCCTATCCCCAAACTCCTTACTCCCTTCCTTGATTTTTTTGTCTCTGGAGCATCTATCCCCATCTGACATACTGTATTTGTCCCCCAACTAGAACCTGAGCCCCACGAGGGCAGGGAGCCCCGTTCCCATCACTCCTGTGTCTGTGCACCTAGAAATAGTGCCTGGCACACTCTGTAAATATTTGTTGAATGCCTAAATGTCTCTCAGTCCTCAGGTTGCAAATCCTGTACCTGGGGAACCCGACGGACTTTCGGACAGGAGGAGAAGGAGAAGCCTGCCTTGGAAGTGCTGCTTCCTGGGAAGATGCAGAGTCTCAGGCCTGAGCAGATCCGGGGGCTGCTGGAGCCCGAGAGGACCAAGACACTGCTTCCTAGGGAGAGCAAGGCCTGGGAGAAGCGTGCCACCTTCGCCAAAGACTGGGTATCGGTCGAGGTTGGGGCCCCCACCTGTAACAGTGATGAGAAAGGTGAGGGGGCAGGGCCCCGTGGGAAGTGAGGGGAAGGGTCATGGCAGAGCCTGGGAAAGACAAGACATTTATTCCATTGCTCATTCATTCAACAAATTTTTATGGAGCCCTGTGTCAGTCAGCTTTTGCTGTGCAACAAGTCACCCCAAAACATAGTTGCTAAAAGCGACAATCATTTCTCTGCTCATGATTCTACAGTCCAGCAATAGGATCTGGCCTCCAGGAAGGGGACAGTCCCCCTGCTGCTGTGCCTGCATCTGCCCACACAGCCGCAGTGAGCTGTCAGGACAGCTGGTTGAACTAAGATGACCTTATTCACACATCTGGCTGGTTTGATGGTGCTGACTTCAGGCAGAGTGTCTCCAGCAGACTGGCCCAGGCTTATTCTCATTGAATGTTCACAGAGCAAGAGAGAGAAAGCCGGGACTCACAAGCACTTTGAAGCCTCTGCTGGCAGTCCAGCCAAAATAAGCCACATGGTCAAGCTGAGCATCAGTGATGGAAGGGTTGCCCAAGGGCGTGGACACAGGAAGCAAGTTGGAGGCCATCGGGGGCAAAAATCTACCACAAGCACCTACTACGTGCCAGGCGTGAAGGGTCCAGTGGTGAGCCAGAGGGCCCTAGGAGAGATCAGATTTTAGTGAAGAAAACAGACCACAAATAAGTTATGTCTGATGAGAGGTGTGAAGACAGTAAAACAGGACAATTGATGGAGAGCGAGTCCCATGTGATCAGGACGGTGAGAGACGCATGACAAGGACTCGGTTGTCCCAAGTGCTGGGGAAGCGTGCTGAGGACAGGCAGAGCTAGTGCACATACCATGAACCCGGCAGTGCCATCACCTTGCTGTCCGGAGGAGACCATGGTGAATGGAGCAGAAAGACTGGGCCAGAGGTGGGGCAACTTGCAGACCTTGGCAAGGAGTTTGCGTGTTATTTGAGTATTGGGAAACCCTGGGAGGCTTTGAAAGGAGAAATACAGGGTCTCCTTTGCATTTCAAACAGATTCCTCTAACTGAGTGGTTCTCTACCGGGGGCGCTACTGCGCCCCACCTCCGCTCCCCAGGGGACGTCACAATGTCTAGGGATATTGTGGATTGTCATTGTTGAGAATATGAGACTGCCATCTAGTGGGCGGAGGCCAGCCCTGCTGCTAGACATCCCACAGGCACAGGACAGCCCCACCACAACGAATTATGCAGAGGGAAATGCCAATGGCCCGAAGAGGGGAAACCCTGCATCCAGCGCGTGTGACAATGAATTGTAGGATGAGGAAGTCAAGAGTGGAAGTTGGGAGGCCAATTAGGAGACGCCTGCAACTGGCCGGGAGGGAGAGGTGACCTAGCTAGGGGCGGTGGTGGTGGACATGGCGTAAGCGGGGAGAACTGAGAATCAGAGTTCTCGCTGGTGGGTGTGGGGGAGGGGAAGACAAGAGCAATATCAAGGATGAGTCCTGAGGTTTTGGTCCACACAGCTGCACTAAGGGCGGTGCCTCTTGCTGAGATGGGGACCCCATGAAAGTCACTCCCACAGCAGAATGGGGGCTGGCTTCTACCAGCGGCTGGGTCCTTCTTGCACGGGGACAAATGGACCTGGGACAGAGGTGAGGGTATTATGGACGCCAGTCTGGAAGTGAGGAGAAGGCATTGGATTCCAAGCAGGGCCCGGGTGCGGGAAGAGTGGGAAATGCCCACCTTTGGCCTGACCCCTAGTTCTGTCCCACTTCTGGGTGAGAAGGATGTTGAAGTTGGAATGTCGGGAGATTTCCCCACAGGCCGATGGGAGCTGGGGAAGCCTCCACCATCTTGGTTTAGTTCTGTGGCTTTTTCTTCTACTTCCTCACTCAGTTTTAGCCAGAAGCCTGAAGGGAAGGACTATCTTACCCATTTGACAGGTGAAGGAATAGAGGTGGCACATCAGTTGAAACACTTTAAGTCTTCCTGATAGTTAGTGACAGAAATGGGATCAGAATTCAGGTCTCTGATTCTCTCCACCCGACCTGGGCCAGTGTGTGTGTGTGTGTGTGTGTGTGTGTGTGTGTGTGTGTGTGCGCGCGCATGTGCGCGCGTGCGTGCGTGCGTGCGTGTGTGTGTGTGTGTGTGTGTGTTGTGTGTGTCTATTAGCAGAAAAGGGATAGGATGCCAGGTGGGAAGAGCAAGGAGAGCCCACCCAGCTGGCCTGGTCACTCACACACGGCTTCTTTCTCCTCCACTCCCTGCACCCCAGATCTGTCTTCACAAGAGATTGGGCTTTCCCAGGAGTGGAGCTTGGTGGAGGAAGACTATGAGACAGAGGAGTCCCAGGTAAGTTGTGATTCCCCCCTCTTTCACAAATGTCCTGCTCTGAAGAACTCAGTGGGTTGTCACATTCCATTCCTCAGCTTGGAATTTGCCTGCCACGAGTCTGTGAGCTCCAAGAGGTAGGAAACAAGACACATTCCTATGGTAGTCAGACATGGCGTGGTGTCATGAGTGCCTGGAAGGGCAGTCTCCACATTTCAGTCTCTTCCTGAAAGTCAAGGGGACAGTAACCCCTCAGCAGGGCCCTGCGTCCCTGCGTGGTACTTGTGAGGTGAGTGAGGAACAAAGTCCCAACACACAGGTTCAGTTAGAGTGAGGAACACAGCTTTATTTGGGAACCAATGTCCCTCCAGAGACCAGTGCTCTGGTAAGCACAGAGGGTTATACAGGATAGAATAGAATTTAATAACAAACAATGTCCCAGAGTCAATCGAGATGGAGAAGGTCCTTGGTCTGGGAGAGACAACTGGGCCCACGACTGGTCTTGCAAGGAAGAACTTTGGAGAGTCCAGGAATATCGCAGCTTGCACCTCGCAGAGGGTCTTTGCCAGAGAACTCATGGCAGTGCTCTTGAGCTTTGCTTTTATCCTCTTTCCCTTGGACTTGTTTACCTCTTAGTTGATAACCAGAAGTTGTTTTGGTGAAGTTGTTTTATTACTCAATTTTGTTATCCTCGGTTTCACACAAAAACATGTTTTTCACTTCACTCTTATCAGTCTCACACATGTACAGCCTAGCTTGTGTCCCTACTAGTAAACAACTTGTTTTGCAAACCTCAGTCCAACATATATCATATATTTTATATGCTCTACACATGTGGAGTCTCCGTGTGGTGTGTATAACTTCTACCACGCATACCCTCAACCCTTCACTCATAAATTCATCATAATTTAGCCATTCATTCACCTGTCCCCTCACTCAGCCACCCAGACTTTCATTTGTCCATTCATCTACCCATCCACCCATCCATCCGCCCACCAATCCATCTGTCCTCTCATTTGTTCACCCAATCTTTCACTCACCTGCGCACACACATACCCATTCCATCCATCCATGTTTCCAGTTATCTATATACCTACTCAACCACCCATCCATCCATATACAGCTAATCCATCCATTTAACCCACCCATTCATCCATATACTACTTGTTGGCCATGGTAAGGATTTGGCTACTTTTCATTGACCCATATGCCTACTCATCCATTCACCCATCTCTACCCATACACCCATCCATTCATCAACCCATCTACCAGCCCATCCATTGATCCATCCACCCATCCATTAGTCACTCATCCACCATCCAACCATCAATTTATCCACCCAACCATCCATCCATTATCCATCCATCGACTAACCACCTACTAGGTTTTTGTTTTTTGTTTTTAGCTGAGCCATCCTGCCACCCGTTGGCAGCTCAGTGGCAGCTCAGCATGGGCCAGACTCGAACCGCTGTTGCTCAGAGCTCAAACCTTTGAGCGAGCTCTTAACCAACTGAGCCACTCAGCCAGCCCATTGAATCTAGGTTTTAATCTAAATACCGAGAATGAAACCAAACAGAATTATCAAGCACATTCCTTTCATTTAAAGACTTCATGTGTTTTTTTTTTGGGGGGGGTGGCATAAGACATATTTAAACAGTTATCTTAGAAAAATCACATAAGCACTCTAAGCAGCACATGAGGGTCCCATCTCCCAATCATATGTCTAAATCCAGCTTTGACTGGTTTAAGTCAGAAAAGAGATGTATTGACTCACAGTGGGGGGAGGGAGGCAAAGCAGGATGGTGGAGCAGTAACTGCTGGTCACAGAGGGATGGCTCAAAGGAGAAGACATTAACTCTGTGGCCAGGAGGCTTATTCTAGAACATCCCAGAGAGTAGGAGACAACAGACCTAGGATTGGGGGATGAATAAGAATTTCCCAGGTGAAGCAGGGGAGGGAACAGAACGTGCAAAGGCATGGCAGGATGGAGCATGCCTTTGGAAGAGCACTGGAGTTAAGGGGAGAGCAGTAGGAGATGTTGGTGAACACTGGGCTGGGAGGAGGTCATTTGTTTATTCCACAACTGTTTTTGAAGCACCTACTATGTGCCAGGCAGTGTTCAAGGCACCAAGGGTACAACTGTGGATGGGATAGAATGGCTCCTGCCTTCATTGGGCTTACATTCACTGAGATAGACAACAGGCAAAACACGTCGCTGAACTATACATCATGCTTGATGGCAGTAAAGTGCTACAGAGTAAATAAAGCAGGAGGGGCTTCAGGAGTACAGGGTGGGCATGAGGGTTGGTGATTTAAGAAGAGTATCCAGGGAAGTCCCCCACTGAAAGGGAGATACTGGGGTAAAGACGTGAAGGAGATTGGGAGAGTTAGATTGGCAGATTTCTAAGGAGAAGGGGTTCTGGGCAGAAGGACACAGCAAGTACAAAGGCCCTGAGGCAGGAGCTTGCCTGGCACATGTGAGGAGCAGCAAGGGGGATCAGTGTGGCTGGAGAGGGCTGGAGAAGACGGGAGGCTGTATTGGAGATGAGGTCACGGAGGTGATGGGGGAATGATGTAAGGTCTTTGTTGACCACAGTAAAAATTTGTTTTTTACTGTGAGTGGGGTTGGAGCTGTAGGAGCACTCTGGAAGATGAGGGACAACTTCCGACTTATGTTTTAACAGGACACCTCTCCCTGAAGTTCCATGCCAAGAGGTTGGGTTCATCTGTGGGCTGTGGAGAGCCATTGAAGGGGTTTGAGGGTTACAGCAGTCACTCTGGTGGCCCATGTGGAAGGAAGGAGGGCAGATGAGGCAGAGAGAGGGGTGCAGAGACCTCCAGGTAGAGAAAAAATGGGTGGGAATAATACAGCTGAGAGCTGCCACTTACCTCGTTCATGCTATTGGACGCGACTCTAAATGCTTCTCATCATTAGCTCATTCACTAACTCAGCACTCTCATATTAACTCATTCATTAACTCAGCACTCATAATAACTCATTCATTAACTCAGCACTCTCATATTAACTCATTCACTAACTCAGTACTCTCATTATTAACTCATTCATTAACTCAGCATTCACTTACTCTCATTATTAACTCATGAGCCTTGTGAGGTAGTTAGCTGGGTTTCCCTCCGTTTAACATGAGGAAACTAGGGCAAGGGAAGCACCTAGAGGCCTCTGCAGCATCATTCATTCATTCATTCACCCCATCATGGCTCATCCAACCAGCATTTCTCTTCTTTTACAGGATTTTTTTGATGTTCACCACTGCTTAGCTTTCCAGATAACTCATTACATCATGTCCATCCCCAAAACTTCCCTGATATTTTAATAGCAGTTGCACTACACGCATTGTTAATTTGGAGAATTGTCACCATTAACCATTTAGTCTTCCCGTCTTCATCGTGGTATGTCTTTCCACTCATTCATTCAATTGGCAAATACAGAGTTTGTACTCTGTGGCAGGCACTGCTCCAGGCCCTGGGTACAGCCGTGAGCACACCAAAGTCTTTGCCTTCATGGGGAATGGAGGAGAAGAAAGCTGGGTGAGGGAGATGGGTGGCGCTGGCATCTTCCATGGGAAGGAATTGGGGCATATGGTTCTAAATAGAGTGGTGAGGAAAGGGTTTTCTAAGGAAGTGATGGAAACCCTGAGATGGAAGCTGTGGCCAATAAAGCCTTAAGAACACTGGGGGAAGGCATTCCAGGCAGAAGAAACCACAGCTGCGAAGGCTGGGAGGTGACAGTGGCTGGGAGGTGACAGTGAGTAATGCAGGGAGCGACCTCAACTTTGGCTGACCCATGGGGAAGAAATGGGGTGTAGGGAGGGGTCAGGGTGAGGAACACCCAGGGTGGTGGTAGTGGGAGGGACGGAAGCTGCAGTTGGGTAGCTGGAGGGACCTGAAGGAGAGATGTGGAGAAACAGCATGAGGAGCTTTTGGGGGGCACAGGGGAGGGATTTGGGAGGATTTGGGACATGCCAAGTTTAAGATGCCCATTAGATATCCAAGTGAAGATGGCAAGTAGACAGTGAGATTTATGTCTGAAATTCAGGAGAGGGGTTGGGTCAAGAAACACACACACACACACACACACACACACACACCCATTGGAGGGTCATTAGAGAGCATAGATGATATTTAAAATGTGAGACCTTACCTACCTCTTTGAAATTTCCATCACATGTACCATTATTCTGATATTTCCTCTGCTGGGAAATAGGGATATTACGTTCTTTATCTTAATCTAGTCCCGTCACTGTACAGTTTTTAATTCAAACTGCTTTTTAGTCCATACGCCAATCCCAAAGTCCCATCTTCCTGCAGGTAACAGTGGTGACCCCTTCCTTTCAATATTTATGCTTTTTTTTTTCCTTCTGTTCCAGGGTTTTGTGGAGTGGCCAAAAGCCCCACAACAAACAACAATACTCTTGGTCCTGTGTGTGCTTTTCTTGTTCCTGGTGTTAACAGGGATGCCTATGATGGTTTACATTTAACCCTAACAGTGGCTCTTGTCTTGAAAGAGACCCCCTGTGTCCTGTTAAGGAAGGGTCCTGGTTAAACAGCAGGAATGGGTATTGGATATTATCAAATGCCTTTTAAACATCCATCAAGACGATTTTGTTTGTATTTAACCTTTTGGTGTGAGTCTTTGCATTGCTAAACTGCATTGAATTTAAGACAACATCGACTGTAAAACATATTATTTTGTATGCCACTGAGAAAGAAAGAAACGCTCCTTAATTATAAGATGCTACCAACTGGGAGATGCATCGTGACTTCAGAGAAGGTAAAAAAAGAAAGTGCAGCTTGGGCTTCATGGAATCTGGTAGATTTCTTCATATCACATCATCTTTGTCTCCGTGGGATGTGGAGCACCAGTCTTTTTAGAAACTGAATTCTATTTCTTGATATTTTCTGTAGTATTATTGCCTCTACCTTCATATGTAAAATTCATACTATATTTGCCAAGTTTAGGTATCATGGCGAAGTTCGCCTCATAGAAGGACCAGAGTAAAATTTTCTCGTTTTCTCTGCTTTCGAATAATTTCTGTAGCTTGAGAAGTGTCAATCCCTTGACATTGAGAAAAAGTAGCTCATAAAGGAGCCAGGTCCTACAGCTATGGTGGGGACGTCTCAGCTAATTCTTAGACAGCTTTCTCAGTTTCTTCCCATGTTGTTAGTTTATTATTCCTTTTTATGTCACTAATTTTGATGATTTCTAATGTTCTTTTATCCCCTAGAATATTCTTCATGCCATTGAGCTTTTCAGATTATTGGCTTAGTGATGCATATTTTTTATAATTAAACAAAATCTTATCTTCCTTTGGTTCCATCCCCTTTCTTCCTTTCAACTTCTGTTTGTGGTTTACCCATTATTCAATTTTTCAAAGGTTTATCTAGTTTATTATTATTTTTCTGAAGAAGCAGCATTAAGATTTATTTATGTCCATTATTTCTCTACTTTGTAATTTGTTTTCCTTTACTACGTATTGGGTTTATCTTTTATTGTTTCTATTCTTTGTCCTCTATTGTTGATTACTTAATTAATTTATATTCTCTTTTTACAGAATTATTTGCTGCATTTCTGTGCTGAATGGTATAAATGTACTTCTGGTGACAGGCTTGACCACATCTGAATGTCTGAACATTTGTGTTCTTGTTTATGTTGTTGTCTAAATATTAGATTGCCGTCTCTCTAAAGAGTGCTTTGAAATTCAGTGATTGGGTTTATTGAAAAATAGTTTTGTTTTCTTGATTTACTGCACTGTGAACAGAAAAAGTGGCCTATGATATATTTGCTCTCAAAACCTTTTTAAAAAGCCTTTATTGTGGCCCAGACCATGTCCAAGTTTGTACATGTTTCATGGATGTTTAAGAGGAATATGCATTTTCTGTCTACAATTTAAAACTCTACGTGTCTGTTAATTAAGTCAGTCTTATTTATCATGTTGTTCAGAGTCACTTATTACTTAACTTTGGCCTACCCTCTCTGTCAGAAACCAATAAGGTTATGTGAAAATCTGTTAGTATGATTGTTTGTCAATATAGTTTTATAATCTTTGATTTATGTATTCAGAACCTGTGTAATTTGATGCATATCATAAGTACAGCATTGCTATGTCTTTGCCAATTAAATAATATATGTAAACACCATGCACAGTGCCAGGCATATAGTAAGCACTCAATAAATGCTAGTGAAAACCTGATTCTGAATCCTTAGTCAAATATCAAATGATTGACTTTAACCAATTTAATCCTTTGCCTTAAATTTTACCTTGTCTAATAGTGGGTGACATTTCCATCCTGATCTCTCTGTGTCTGTGAGTGGAGGGGTATGTGTATATGTGTGTGTGGGTATGTGTGTGTATGTGGGAGGGTATATGTGTGTCTGTGTGTGGAGGGGTATGTATGTATGTGTATGTGGGTATGTGTGTGTGAAGGGAGGTGTGTATATGTGTGTGAGGGGTGTGTGTGTGTGTGTGTCTGTGGGGGGTATGTGTGTGTGTGGGGGTCTGTGTGTGTCTATGTGTGTGTGTGTGTGTGTGTGTGTGTGTGTGTGTGTGTGTGTATGTGTTAGACTCTGTCATTTTGTTTTAACAGGACTTCCGATGGCCTCTTCTGAGTCTGCTGGAGGACTCAGGGCAGGGAGAAATATGGGATCCGCACTCCCCATCCCTCTCATGGGCTGATGGCATCCAACAAGCGACAACTGGCCCTTAAAGGAAACATGTCTTGACTGTTATATTCCTTATTATTTTATTGGCTGCAAATAAGCTCAATTCAAATGAGCTTAAGCATAGACCTGAATTATTTGTTCACATTGCACCAAAGGTCGGGATGAAATTGGCTCAATTAATAGCAGGTTCTTGGGGTCTAAAACAATCACAGGGGTACCTTTCCTCTCCATTGACCTCCCAGTTATGCTCCCTATTGGGGGTGACCTCCCTCTTTCTCCACATGGCTGGGGGGATGGCTACCGTCACCCCTGTGCTCACCTCTTCCATGTGGCGAAGTGGGGGACTCAGGCAGATTCTTGTCTCACACACCCCCACCCTCCATAGCTGCTCTGCCATGGGGATCAGAGTTCTGAAATAAGGGACAGAGGGAACAGCAACTGCAAAGGCCAGAGTTAGGACGGAGCTACGGGAGGAATGGGTGGAAAATGGATTGAAGCCAGGATGCGTGGAAATGTGGAGATGCACGGGGATACCATCCTAGATGTCCAGGACCGAGAGGACGTGTGGGGGCGAAGGGGCTGTGCTGGGCTCAGACAGCACCACAGTCCTAACCAGATTTGTGGAATATTGAAAATAATCATGATGCTCATGGAGACCATATGAGTAGTGGCCATTTGTTTGGGCGCTGTCAGGTACCAGGAATGTCATCTCATTGACGGTGGAAGTCTCTACCACACCCCTGATGGGCCATTCTCCACCCAACAGCCAGGTGGATCCAATGAAACCATAATTAAGACCATTCATAATCCACCCACTTCAACAGTAAAAGTCGGTCCTCACACAAGCCAATCACGTGCCTGCCTCAGGACCTTTGCACTGGCTGCTCCCTCTGCCTGGGATGCTCATATGGCTCTGTCACTGGCTTCAGTTCTCTGCTCAAACGTTGCCTTCCTAGAGAGCCCTCCCTTGATCACCCTGGAGTAGGATCCCCTCCTTCCCCCTCCGCAGGTTATCCTCTGCTTTTCTTCATCACCACCTGAAAATTGTGGGTCAATGCATTTCTCGTCTGGCACCCTAACAGCCATTCCTCCTCGTCTCGTGGCCCCCCCTGGAGGAACTGAGTCCTGGGAAGGCTGAGTTAAGGTGTGGGGGTTGTGAGGTTCAGGCTGTGCCTCCCAGGAACTCCCCGCACTCCCGCACCAGCTTGTGGTACCTCACCTTTTCCGACCCCCTCCCCTATGTGATTGAAGCCGTTCTGCCCCTCCTGGAATAAGACATGTTGGACCCAGCTGGATACTATACTGCTATAGTATCTATGGAACATAGTGGAGGGGAAAATGTGTCAAATATGGGAAATCTAAAAACCATAGGGAAAAAACTGGGATGCCCTTCCGGCTACCAGGTGGCAACTGCCTTGTAATCGTTATCATGAAACCGCTATTCTGACTGTGGGCGTAGCTTCTGGGTCGACAGGACTGCTGCACGCTGCCACCAGGGAGCAGCGTCAGCATCCTGCGCTGTGGCGCTAGCTGTTTGCTGAATGCCAATTCCTTTTCCTCTTTACTTTGTCGGTAATCCCTAAATTTGAAAAGCTCCGAAACCAGTATTTTTGCTAACGTCTCCCCCAGAGGCTCAGCTCCTTCCACAGCTGTAGAGCCTCTGGCTAGACTCACTCCTCCCCCAGGGTCCTGCCCCTCCTACACCAGGAAGGACTCAGGGTCATGCACACCCCCGCCCCATCCCTGCTCCACTGCAGGGACAAGAGGTCAAAGCCAGGCAATCAGTCAACATGGGAGGCAGTGCCCGAGCAACGCTGTCCACACACAGCAGAAGTCAGCACGGGAGCCCCTCACCACTGGACACAGCCCTGGGTCTGTGCATTCGGAGGGTGGTCTGCCAGTCTGAGCCTCTGCACTGGCACACTATGACCTACTGGACAGGCTCTCCTAAGCCTAGGCGAAAAGGCTCGGAAAACCCATGCCAGCCCCGACCACAGTCCCGCTTACCCACCACCCCCTCTGCTGTGGAGGGCGCGTTTCTCCTGTTCACTTGGGTGATGGAACTCAGCCTCGTGTCCGTAAACTAGCATCCCATTTAACTCCTTCATCCACTCCCCCAACATTCCCCGGGGAGATCTACTCTGTGCTGAGGCCCCAGCTGGGCAAGGTTTGGATCAGAGGGAGGAGCCAGACTGTGTGGTCCATGACCCTAAGGGCTCTAGGGCGGGATGTGGTCAACTATTCTTTCAGTCAGCTTGGTATTTCTTGAGGACTGTGTGTGGAGGCTTGAACTGGGCAATGTCTGGAGTTCCAGGAAAAACCAGAATGTGTGGTCTCTGACTGAGAGGATTCAGGGCTGGTACTAAGGATGTTTACCTACTATACATTCAGTTACCTGGCCTATTAATTTATATCTCCTGAAGACCTACTATATAATGAGACCTGGAATGGGCAGTGTCTGGGGCTCAGGGAGAAACCAACTGTATGGCCCTTGACCCTGAGTGACTTGATGCTAGGATGTACAGCTATTCATTCCATCATCCAGCACTTAATGAGGACCTACTATGTGAGGCCTGTCCAGGAGATGCCGGAAGTATAAAAGGCACACTCTCTCCTCCCAGGCCCTCACCAAAAGGACTGCAACTTTTATCCAATTTAATTTATTGAACCATTGCCAGTTCAATCATGAAATCAACAATTACAAGGGCAGCCACAGATCCACAGATACTCCTTCAGGTCTACTTTGGTGGGTCACGTTTATAATTTTGAATCAGGGAGGTGGTGGGGAGTCCAGCAGATGTGGGATGCAGTCCCAGCCCTGAGAAGACATCCTCCCTGTGTGACCTCGAGCAAGTCAGAGAGTTTCTCTGAGCTTCAGTTTCCTCTTGGGCAGCACAGGAATGAGAGGGTATCTCCCCTTAGTGCCGAGAGGTTGGACATGAGCCGTGAAAATGCTCACTCAGCACAGTGCCAGGTACAGGAGGCCCCAGTAACAGTCAGCTCTTATTCTGCTGGTCCCTGGAGGTTTCTGCAGGGCCACTACTGCTAACAGGCTTCTCATCCCCATGCAAGCTCAGGTGTCCACTCAGGTGTGGCAGCCGGATAGAGGTGTCCCCACACAGGCCACGCTTGTGGCATGTTTTGTCAGTGTGTGTCCTCTGGTGCCGAATGAGAGTGGAGGAGAAGCCAAAGGCCTTGCCGCAGGCACCACACTTGTAGGGCCACTCCCCAGTGTGCATGATGTGGTGCTGAATCAGGTAAGCGCGGTTGCGGAAGGCTTTGCCACATTCGGGGTACCATAGGGCCGCTCCCCAGTGTGTGTACGCCGGTGCAGCGTGAGCGCCGAGCCCTTGCTGAAGGCCTTGCGGCAGTCCCCGCACTGGAAGGGCCTCTCACCGGTGTGGATCTTCTAGTGCTCCAGCAGGGAGGACGCATGGCTGAAGGCAGCCCTGCACTCCACGCACTTGTAGGGCCTAGCACCTGTGTGCGCCAGGTGGTGCTGTGCCAGGTGAGAGCGGTTGCTGAAGGCGCGGCCGCAGTCCCCACAGGCGTAGGGCTGCTCACCTGTGTGCACGTGCCGGTGCTGAGCCAGGTGCTCCACCTGCGTGATGGCCTTGGCACACTGGCTGCAGGTGTAGGGCCGCTCGGCTGTGTGTGTGTGCGCCGGTGGCGCAGCAGCGCCGAGGAGAAGCGGAAGGCCTTGGGGCACTGAGTGCAGGCAAACGGGCGCTCACCTGTGTGTATGCGCTGGTGCTCCAGCAGGGCCACGCGGCCGCGAAAGGCCTTGGCGCACTGGCCGCAGGTGAAGGGCCGCTCACCCGTGTGCACACGCCGGTGCTGCGCCAGGTGCAAGGGGCGCACGAAGGCCTTGCTGCAGTCTGGACACACATGAAGCAGCTCACCCGTGTGCACGCGCCGGTGCAGCGTCAAGTGCATGCGCTGGCTGAAGGCACGCCCAGTCTCGGAACATGGAAACAGTTTCTCCTGTGTGCGTCCTCCGGTGCAGGGTAAACACGGAACAGTTGCTGATGGCCTTGTCGCAATCCTCGCACTTCCACAGCTTCCTGGGGCCTCCAGCATCTGCGTCCTTCCGCTTCGGGCTCTTTCCTGGAGCACCCTGCCTCTGGGGCCCACAGGTGGCCTGAATAACTGGAGGGCTTGGTCTGGTTCCCAGGATTCCGCCGAAGTCACCAAGCTCCTGGGCGCCGTCCCTGGCAGGGTCCTCCTGGCGGGCCTCTGGCTTCACACAGCTATCTGGGTTTTCCTGCCGGTCCTTGAGCTGACTGTTGGGTGTCCAGGCTTCTCCGAACTCAGGGCCCTGGAGGGCAGCGACAGCCAGGAGTTCTTCCATCCCTGCACTGAACTGCTGCCTCGAGTTCACGACTCGGTACTGGATCTGGAAGAAAGAAAATAAAACCAAAGAGGTTTGTCATTTGTCCTGGGCTAGGAAGGGCCCAGAGCAGGTTCCCAACCTCAGCACTGGTAACAGTTTGGGTCAGATCATTCTGTCCTGGGGCCGTCCTGGGACTTGTAGGATGTTGAGCAGCACCCCTGGGCTCTAAACACTGGAGGCCAGTCGTACTGCCCCTCTCTGTGCCACCCTCAGGTGCCACAACCAAAAATGTCTCCAGACATTGCCAAGTGTCCTCTGGGGGGGACAATACCACCCCTGATTGAGAATCACTGACTAAATGGAACTGAAAACAATTTTAAAAGATTCTGCAAAAACATGAATCCTTCAGCTCTTAAATATAGCCTGTGGTGCTATGGACCAAAATGTGTCCCACCAAACCATATGTGGAAGCCCAAACCCCCAATTTGAGGGTGTTCGGAGGTGGGGCCTTTGGGAGCTGTTTAGGGTCAGATGAGGACACGAGGGCAGGACCCCCCCGTGATGGATTAGTGTCCTCTGTCCACCATATGGGGACACAGCGAGAAGGTGACCATCTGCAAGCCGGGAGGAGGGTTGCAGAACTGGACCATGCTGGCATCCTGATCTCGGACTTCCAGCCTCCAAACTGTGAGGAACACAGTTGTTTAATCCACCCAGTCTATGGTATTTCATCAAGGTGGCCCGAGCTAACTAACACACCTAGAGGGACGGTTTCCTTTTCGGGAGAAAAATCAGTCCCCTCCACAAACAGCAGAAAAGGCAGCCCCCACATTCCATGCTTAACATACTGCTGGAAAAACCACTGGCATTTTCCAGGAAAGCTGACGACACATGCCCAGTGGCCTAGTACTTACATTTTCTGGAATGTAAGCACACGTGTGTGCCAGGAGGCGTATCTTGAGATTGTCTGTAATGGCCGGATATTAGAAACATGCCAACCGTCCACTAACGAGGGAATGGACAACTAAACAGGGTACATTCACACGGTGAAACATCTCACAGCATAAATACAAATGACCATCAGCTACCGCACCAGTTCAGAACCTCAAATACAGTGTTGGCAAACATGGTAGGATATAAAAAAATTTATCAAGTATAACGTGATTTAGGCTTAAAAACAGGCCAAACTAGACCATTTATTCTTTGGGATAATGGACATATGTGACAAAGGTTCACTGCTCCACCCTGGCGCAGGCACATGCAGAAGTTGGCCCCTCCCCAGGTGGGGTGACTTGGAATCTGCTTAACAAAAGCCCCAGGTGGGCCAACAGAGGGTTAAGAGCTGGCTTGGGATGCCAGCTCTGAGCAGCAGGGCCCTGGTTCGGATCCCACATGGGGGCCAGTGACACTGCCCTCTACAGCTAAGATGGTAAACAACAGCTCGACCTGGAGCTGGGCTGCCGTGAGTCACCGGCGACAGCGTAGGCTGCAGCCCCTGCTGCAGTGCGCTGCCATAAGCAACTGTGTGTGGCCAGCAGCCAGCATGAGCGGCCGGCAGCCCAAGTGAGCTGCCAAGAGTCGCTGTGAGCGGCCGTCCAGAGGTCAGCGACTGATCTGCCTCACCCGGGAAGAGCGCAATGATAATACCAACATGGGCCAGTTAAGTGACGTCCTCCACAACTAGACTGAAGAATAAAAGGACATCAACTTGTCTGTTCCCCTTCCCCTGATTCCCCAGCACTGTTCCCCTCCCCCAATTCCCCAATAAAATCTTTAAAAAAAGTCCCAGGTGACTTGTGGGCATAGGAACAACTGTGCTGGTCTCAACCACTCTGAAGCCAACACGGAAATATTATTATGGCAGCAGTAATAACCGGCATTCATTGGACACAGAGCTATGTGCCTGGTACCCTTTAAGCCCTTGCCACATATTAGCTCATTTATTCCTCAGTGAGGTCCCCAGAAGTGGTGATGCCAGGCCACACTGGGGTCGCCTGGCTCCAGACCTCATCCTCTACAATGCCCCCACTTGCCCGGGGCATGCACGGCTCCAGCCACAGGCCACCTCCCTGTTCTACAAACACACCAGGCATGCTCCTGCCTCAGGGCCTTTGTACTGGTGGTTCCATCTACCTGGAATGCTCTTCCCATAGCACAGGCCTTACTGAGAAAATGACTTCTGAGCAAAGACCTATAGTTCTGGTGCCACCCGCATAGGCAGTCTCAGGCCTATGCTGGGCCCAGCTGAGTCCCCAGAGCAGCAGTGGTACCCACCTCATGGTCTCAGGAGCATCAGATCCTGTCCATGTCACTTAGACTGGGGTCCCTGCTCTGGCCACCATGCCTCAGTGGGTCCAGTCGGCATCTGTGGGAGAAAGAAATAAGGACCCGTGAAGGAGGATTCTGGAGCAGACAGGTGGGTGGAGCCAAAAATCCAGGTTGTTTAGTGTGTGTGTGTGTGTGTGTGTGTGTGTGTGTGTGTGTGTGTGTGGTGCATGGAGGGGGGTAAGCCCAGGACGGTCACACACACACACAGGCACCTGAAGGAAAGACACAGACACACTCAGAGACAGACAGACACATCACATCACGCACAGACACACGGGGTCGCATGCAATTACCTTGGGGGGCAGTCATGCTCTGGCCCCCTCCCTGCACTCACATGCTCTTACATGGCCACCCATATGCTGTGGCACACAGTCCTCCCCACACACAAGGAGGTAGTCAGTCTTGTACACCTGCAGTCCATGCTTGCACATACACACGTAGCTACACACACAAGGTCACACGGCCCTCCTCCACTCAGACCATGCACTGCATCACCACCCACAGTGGCACATCCGGAGTCACACCCAGTTGAGCCAACAACCTTCACACGTGTTCAAAGCCACATGTGTGCAGCTTTTTCCTCACACAAGCACACACGCAGTAATACCACACTTACACAGTGTCTGCCATAAACATACCCTGTGACATACTTACACTGCCCTCCACACGCAGAGTCGTACTCAGGTGTACACAGAATGACACAGGCACACCCAGGCCGCCCAGCTCCAGGATGGTAGGCACACGCACTGAGCCATCCTACAGCATTGCATACCCCTCACACCCAGGAGAATAAGTTCCACACATGCCCAAAGTCACACATGGGCACAGGTCCCCAAGTGCACAGACACTCGTTTATGCACATACCACCACGGTGCAAACACACAGTGACACGTGGGGACAGACTCTTACTCTGAGTCGCACGAACAAGTTACACGTCCGAAAGAGCACAAACTGTGAGTCACCCACACGCAAACATGTGCGAGGAATCACGTGCACAGTGCATGTGCACGAAGTTGTGGAGTCACGCAGGTGCAAACACGCTGACATGCGAGGCAGGACTCACATGCATACGCCGCTGGAATCACGAACGTACAGAGACCCACAGATACGCGCACACGTTCACGCGCAAACTCACGTGCGCATGCGCACACCACACCCCTTGCACCTTCGCCTCCCGAGGCCAGCTTTGAAGGCCTGGGGCGGCTGCTGCCGAGCCTGGTGAGTTCGGGTCAGACTCTCGATCTTCGGCCCTACCCGGTCCGCAGAGCCCTCCGGTGACCCCTTGTCCCGTAGTGGCGCGGACGTGCAGACAACACAGATAAAGGCGCCGGCCGCCGCAAAAGAGCTCTAGCGCCAGGCCAGCGCGCACTGGGAGAGTACGAACAGCGCGCGGTTCCCAAGAACTAATACAACTCCGAGAAAGCGCCGCGGCCAGACAGCATAGCCTGGGTCAAAGAAACTACAACTCCCAGAAGGCCGTGCGTCTGCACGAAATGGGACGAGGTGTTCCAGCAGCCTAGGTATCCCAAGGAGGGGAGGGCGGCAGGGGGCGGGGCTTGGGCGTGTCTATCCCGAACTCCGCCCACCATGGTCTGGGCGCAGGATGGTGGGCTGGGCCAGTAATCTGGGGGCGAGACTCTTCTTCCTCAAGGAGGGGGCGCAGGCTTAGGAAAAAAGAATGAGGATCAGAGAGGCCAAGTCACTCCAGGCTACACAACACAGAAAAATGTTGGAGCTGGGGTTTGCAACCCACCATTCGCCATTAAACCATGGAAGCCAATTTGTCTCAGAGTTTGATGTAATTCCAGTCCAGAGCAAAGATGGCAAATACAATGACGTGGGCAAATGATTGCAATAGTTAACATGTACATAGGATTTACTATTGGCTAGCCGTTATTTTAAAGTGCTTCCTATGAAAATTCTGTTACCTTCATAAATTCTTTCCTTGGCCATTAGAAAAATGGGCGCGAGATCATTTTTTAGGCCATTGGAAAAACAAATGTGTGAACATAGAATGGGAAGACGGATGTATTTCACCAAAGTCAATGTGACATGGATTGTGAGACACCACACTATTTTATGTACCCCCAAGGCTTCCCATTAAACCATCACACATGCTTTCTTTATACATCAAATTTTTATTTTATATGTAGATCTAAAGAGGCATGTGTGTTTCCTCTCATCCATCCTCCTGAAAGCTTCTGGTCTTGCTATGGTAAGAACGTGCCCAGTGTCCCTCCAAGTTTGGGACTCATGGAGCAGTCTCCCAGCTAATCCACAGACCTGTGAGCATGAGAATAAAGGATTATGGTTTTAAGCCACTGAATTGTTTTCTTTCTGGTTTAGTCTTTGAATATTTAAAAACTATCTCTTACATGCTCAGAAGACTGCAGCATTTTTGAACACTAAAAAGCCTACCCCCACTTCTGGAAATAAAAATCAGGAATTATTCAAATACAGGAAAGGACCTTTGTACTCAGGTATATTGTTAGGAAAAGCATTTTATTATGCCCATTTCATTAATCCATGGTTTAGAAAGTCAGGCAAGGCACAGTGGGGAGGGCTTCCTCTTCTACTCCACAGTGGGACTTCATCTGGGGTTGCTTGAACTGTTGGAGATGGCAGGATGACTCAGTTGGGGCCATACATCTGGATCTGGGCTCTTCTCTGCATGGTGTCTGTTGGGGCTGGCCAGACGTCTCCATGTGGCTCACTTGGGCTTCCTCACAGCATGGTGAGCTCAGAGTGTAGGACTTCTTCTGTGGTGGTCCAGGGCTTCAACAGGAGTAGTCAGGTGCAAGCCACTGAGTGGAGGGGCTATTTGTTACACAGTAGGTTAGTGATAATGGCTGACTGAAACAGGCAGTGCTGAGAGATGAGGCTGAAGGTGTAGGCCAGGTAATTCAGGTTTCTGGGGGCCATACTGGAGCTTTTGGGCCATTCCTGAGGATAGTAGGGAATTACTGTTGTGTTTTTTCTTTTTTCTTTAAGCTGGAAGAGTCTGCATTTGTGATAGCATGTGTCCCAGCCTGGTGTGAGGACTGGGCACTGTTCACTAATATTTTGGGTAATTCTTTCCCTGGCCTCAGGTCATTGCTCTGCTAAGTGCTATAGAGGGCCCCTCTGTACATCTCTGGAGTCCTCTCTGTGTAACTGATCCTCTTCAGAACTCTTTCTTATTAACCTCTGGCCACGTTGGTCTTCCTGGATGCTCAGCTCTGTCTCTTCAACTCGGGGGATCTGTAGGGCTCAGCCTAGACCCCTCCCCTTGCACTGTGACCTGGAAATGTGGCCAAAATGACCTACAAGTACAGCCCGGATTTAAGGAGTGGGAAAACGGACACATTGCAAAGGGGGTGGATTCAAGGATGTGTGGAAAATTACGGTCATTTTTTTGCAATCTATTACACACACATACACTTAAATATAATGAATCATATACAGTCTGGGCTCACACACACTTGTGTAATTGTACACACTCTTCTGTAAAAAATGTGCAAAGTTCTTCCAACTGTTCAAGTGGTGTATTCCCAGACTTTCCCTATTAAGGTCAGCCCCTTTCAAATACAATTATTATCATGTCAAAAAGATATTTCCCAATGTGACTTGACTCTTTCTACTCCTTATGGGTAAAAGAAATCCAAAGCTGACATATGCATGAATCATTCCTTACATTGACTTAGCCACTCCTCAGTTTAAAGAAGGGTGATAAAATAAATTGAATGGATCAGGATCCTCCAGAGAAACAGAATCAATAGTATTACATATAGAAATAAATATATAGATATAGACCTCTCTGTATGTGTAGGTGTTTATATCTACCTGTCTTTCTATCTGTAGAGAGACTAAGGTTTATTTTAACAAATTGGCTCCCATGGCTGTGGGAACTGGAAAGTCTACAGTCTGTGGGGCTGGCCAGCAGGATGGTAACTCAGGCAGGAGCTGATGCTGCAGTCTTGAGATAGAATTTCTTCTTCCTCCAGAAAACCTCAGTTTTTACCCTTAAGGCCTTCACCTGATTAGACGAGGCCCACCCACATTATCAATGGTAATCATTACTTAGAGCAAATGGACTATCTATAAAATACCTTCAGAGCAACACCTGAATTAGCATTTGCTGGTGCTACAGCATGGCCAAGTAAACGCGCAAAACTAACCATGACAGAAACACCCACCGCCACCGCTAGCTTCCCAGAGAAAGTGGATAGGAAGGGGAAGCATAGATGGAAATGACAAAGAAAGGCAGATGAGATAAATGTTAGCTCAAATTATTATTAGAAAAATCACCAGTAAGTCTTATTTAAAAGTAAAAAGGAGGGGTCCTGCTGGGTAGCTTGGTTGGTAAGAGTGTGAGCTCTGAGCAACAGCGTTGCCAGTTCGATTCCCACATGGGCCAGTGAGCTGTGCCCGAGCCGCCGAGCTGCTACTCTTAACAACAAGGTTGCCAGTTTGATTCTCACATGGGAAGTGGGTTGTGCCGCCTCTCCCCACCCCCCGCCCCCGCCCCAACTAACATTGAACACGACACCTTGAGCTGAGCAGCCAACAGCTGCTGATGGGTGGCCAGATGGCTCAGTTGGTTAGAGCGCATGCTCCTAACAATAGGGTTGCCAGTTCACCTCCTGCATGGGACGGTGAGCTGCACCCCATCACCCTGACCCCGGGAACTAGATTGAAAGTGGCGACTGGACTTGGAGCTGAGCTTGTGCCCTCCACAATTAAGATTGAAAGACAAGACAACTTGACTTGGAGCTGATTGGTCCTGGGAAAACACAATGTTCCCCTTCCCCAGTTCCCCAACACTGTTCCCTCCCCCAATTCCCCAATACAAATCTTTAAAAACAACAACAAAAACTGACGTTCTTTAAATAAATAAATAAAAGTAAAAAGGAAATAGACTAAATGTGAACCATGATAAATATAATTTTGATCTTCAGTCACCTCCGAAGATACTGCAGAGATGTACCCCGCAGTTTCTCAAACGTGGTGTGTCAAGCTTGACTGAATCACAGGGGGGCACTGTGGCATCACGGAAAGAATAAAACCTGCTCAAACAAAGCCTTTCCCTTAAAAAAATGGGGGGCAGGGGGGTGGGGGGAGAAGATTCCAGTGGAAGGCTCTGAGATCAAGAGAGAGGGCCGGTGAGGTAAAGAGGACATTCTAAGTGGGTTGGAGTCCTCAGCCCCTTAGGCCCAGAAAATGCTGTTTTAGGTCCTCCCCTCTCCCAGTCTTTGCTCCTGGAAGCGCAAGAAGACACTCGAAATGGACACGTTATCCTGAACACAAGGATATGTGAAAAGGGATATGATTTTCAAAGAATACCACGCTCCTGCACTCTCGCTTTTCTAGAGCTTGGGTCCAGAGCGTGGGAAAGTAGAGGAGATAATGGTTGTCATGAGATGTTGGTCCAGGTGTGTCACTTCCATCTGGCTGTCTGGCTTCGCTATCCTGATTCGATGTTCTCTTTAACCCTCGCAGGGCTGAACTGACTTGTGTGCTAATGAAGCAGTGGGCTGCCTGGTGGTTATGTGCCTCTGTGCTTGTGTTGCTTAGGACCCAGGTTCAAGTCCTGATTCCACCACCTCCCAGCAGAGTGGCCTTGGATGAACTATTTAGCCTTCCCATGCCTCCCCTCTTATGAGGGGTGGGGAGGGGATGCTCACTGCTCATTTAAAAATTATATTCCAGTCCACTGTGTTTTATTTCATTAAAAATATGCTGGTGGTGATAAATGAGGTCTATTTCAGGAACCCCTAATATAAGCCATCCCACGGATGAAATGCACTGCTTTAGAGACAGCTGAAAACACTGTGGCTGAAAGTGTGCACAGAGGAGCTAGTCTGCTGTTCTTTGGCTTCTGGCTGGGCCATTTA